GTTTTTTTTAATATTTAATAAATCCGAGCCCTATTTATTACCAATACCTATTGATTACGTGAAGTCGTAATACGTGAGTAACCAAAAGTCAAAAACTAAGTTTTAAAGTTAACATTATAATAATATAGTGCCGAATTTTTTTCATAAGATACTAAAATAGAAAAATAAATTGCTTTAATAATAGCAAAATCAAAAAATTAACTAAGTTATATAGGCGATTACGCTGACAGACCGCGTCTTCGTTTAAAATCGTTTTCAAATATACTGATTTATCATTGAATTCAAACCTAATACATATATTACACTATTAAAGTGACTGACTCAGTGATAAGGTATACTTGGCAAGCGATACCTACTTTCCTTCTTCTTATAAATATTGATTTTAAAGCAAAATTAACTAGTGTACTAACTATTAAGCGTTTAATAATTTTACCTAATACGTATCATTAATTCATTTAATTCTTAAAAACTTTTAGAAAGTGCTCCCTTTGAAGATAAAATTGTGACCACATTATGAATAGTGGCTGTATCTTCTCCAATAAATACGATATTTCATAAATAAAAACAAAGAATAAAATCAATAAAAAATGTTTATAATAATTTTTTGCTTTATTTAAAAATAATTATTTATACAAATAATATGAATTACAATAATTACAGCAATTTTGATTTTATATAATTCAATTTGTGCAGGAAGGTATAAAAACATATAAATGCTAAAAGAGCCTATAGGTGTAAAGTACAATTACAAAATTTAGTTGTTTGAAACAATTTGAGCATTTCGAATAGTAAAATATTTTAAATAATAGTATAGAATTTCAAAATATACAATATGTCAAATATATATGTACAGTAGAATTTTTTTAACATTCAAGACATTTATTTTCCCGGTAAATTGTTTTATTTTTCAATTTTTGTTATTAGACATACTATTTACATAATAATTTTTTTTTTTTTTGAAAACTCTTGCGTTAACGTTGCAACAGTTTCCACAGTTACATAAATACATTATACGTAGATATAACAAACTGTTATTAAAAAATACATAGCTGCTGACAACTCTCAGCTGACAAACAATAATTATTGAATAGGTATCTGATCGAAAATACAAATTACTATATTATAATAATATAATCTAAAATTCTAAAAGTCACATTGGGTAAACCCGAAAACATAAAAGTAGACAAACACAATACCTACAGTAATACCACAGAATATATGAAATTGTTACATTTGGTATTTATACAAAATAAAGTACTAAGAAAACCATTATTTCACCTCATAAACTATTGAATTTATTTAGATTATGTATTTATGTGTAATTGGTATATCATTGTAACATCTTGTTGGATATTTATGAGTTACTTCAATTCTCAATAAAGTTGCCAAATATGGTTTTGCATTAGGTATAACTTTTTATGAATATATTGTGAAAACTTAACTTTAAATGTACCTAAATTGCTGAATTGCATTATTCTTTTAAATTAAATAAGAAAATTATTTTTATTATATAAATTGATAAAAATCATTAGTTGTTCTATTGATTTAATTGACTTTACTAACAAAAACAGCGCTCAGAAGAAAAATACTAAATAACCTGTTATAAATAAATACTTATTGATTATTTCTAGGATTAAAACCTTAAATTTATGTTCAAGTTGAAGTACCTCTACCACTGTTTCTATCTGTTTTATTTATTTATTTATTTATAAAAAATCAACGAGCCAAAGCACTTTAACAAAGAAAGAAAAAMATGTATGAATTGGCACAATATGAAAACAATAGACAAGTAAAAATAGTAAGAAATACAAAGACAAACATTTTAGTGTATTAAGTAAAACTATAAAATAAATATTTAGACACTATGATTTAAAAATAACGAAGTTTTAGTTTTAAATACTTAATGAGACAAAACAAAAAAATCCAAGACTGTGGAGATTCTATTGGCATTAATAATGGCTCTTGAAAAAAATGAATTTTTTCCAGTATATAAAACTATAGGGTTTTATTTTATGTTACTGCAAAGTTAATAATGTTATTATTCAGCCTATTTTACAATATAAACTGTATTTATAATTAAAAATATAAATATAAATAAATAAAATGTTTAGCTGAACCAAAAATTTACTATTAATATTATATTGTATATTTAATCAATAGCTGAACTATTATATTGTAAGAGGTAAATTTAAGTTTTTTTTTTGGGCAACACTGGTGCTTGCATTCAATATGGTGGACATTCTTATCAGATTTCCATAAGAATAATGTAATTTTTTGAGATGTGACCACAGATATATAATATATATCTGTGGATGTGACCATTCTGATTTCATATATTCTGTGGTAATACAGTATGTATTATTCAAGGTGGATTTATCCATTTATCCATTTATAAATCCACCTTGGTATTATTAAAGGATCTAAGATAAAAAAGTCACCGACAAAAAGGTCACGGACAAAAAATCCACGGATAAAAAAGTCATGGATAAAAAAGCTAGGGGATAAAAAATCATAGACATATATAAATATATTACATATAATATATTTATATGTCTATGTAAAAAATACATTAGATAAAAAAGCCACTGATAAAAAAGCCATGGATAAAAAAGACACGGATTTATTTTAAAATTGAATACAATATAATTTAAAATTATTTAAAAAAGTTAAAATTTAAAATGTAGGATTTAAAAATATAGCTAATATAAAAATAAAAAAACTATTAAAATAATCGTATTGTGTAAGCAATGGCTGTTAAATACTCATCCGTTGTCCGTATAGAGTTAAGCCATCATTACATATGAGAGGATCAAGATAAATTTCCCAAAAGCTTGATGACGTACATATGACCAAATTAATAACAAATTTTATTGTCTCCTTTATTATTACTAATAATTAATAAACTAGTAATAAACTAATAAATATATTACCACAAATTTAACACCTTAGACTATTTTATTTCACGACACTTTCACGACACAGACTGAGTATAACGATGTCAAATAGCGCATAGAAGATAAAATTTTACCCAATTCCTAATAATATATATATATTAAATTATATTAATATTATATATTATATAAATATAAACCTATATAATATTGGATTATAGAGTATAGACACAATTACACAATATATTGTTCGATTGCCATTCAAACATTTACGTTACGATACGGCGATAAGATTAGTCCAATTATTATTGAAAAATAATCAGACGATATTATAGCTTATTTAGTGTATAGTCTACTAATAATTTTAAGGGGATTTAAAATGTGTAATATATTTGTATTAAAAAGTAAAAATACACGTATTTTGGTATTTTCTTCACTTAGCTTAATTTTCGAAATATTTCGCTTTTTTGGTTATAACATTTTTAAATTATATTAATTGTATTCAATTTTAAAATAAATAATAATGTATTGTAGTACCTAAATTKTYTTAGCACAAAAATAAATCCGTGTCTTTTTTATCYATGGCTTTTTATCGGTGGCTTTTTTATCCCATGTATTTTTTATCCATGACTTTTTTATCCGTGGCTTTTTTGTCCATGCCTTTTTTATCCGATTACCATTATTATAGGTAAGCTTCACCTATAAAAATTGCTATATATTATATATATATATTATACTATAGCTATAGCAATTGTTACGCTTTAAAATATTATATAGGTTATAGGTACCTATCTACTACTTCTTATTCAATACTTTGAATTAGTCAAAGTTATAAAAGTAATAATTTACGTATATAAAAATATTTTATTTTCATAAGTTAATAAATTATTTTAATTTTATATTTTATTAATTTCAACAACGTACAAATTGACTAAAAAAAATAACTGTTTACCTATTACATTAATAAAATAAATCATTCCTTGAATTTATGGAATCACGTTCCTTATCAGCAGTTATCTTTCWAGRAAAACAAACRCCGAATTAAGGTAATCATAGTACATTATAATATATGTCTTAACTCTTGTCGAAATTTAGAATATCAATGGCTTTAAAGTCGAAATTTTAAAGCACATTATACAACTAAATATACGGTGGTTAAAATTTTTTAAATTTATACGTGAAAACCTTAAGAATACTGAATAATGTAAAATAGAATACCTTAAGTGGACGCTACACACATTTTTGTTGACTCTGTCTTACAAGTGCGTAACATGGCAAATTTACGCTTAGCAGATATTTTAAAAATTATAGTAAATTTGCCTATTATGAAACTTGATGGTTATACTTATAACATTATCTGAGTTTTTTACGATACCTTAAATTTTAGATGAGTTATGAGCATTTTTAATTTACGCTTTTTTATACACGCATAACGGCATAACTTGCTACAAAATTGAACCATCGTAAAATCCGTAAAATATCGTAACACAGATTATGTTCTTATCATCATGTTTTAATAGTTCGATTCACTAAAATTTTTAAACTAACCGGAGCTCAACGTGATCTGCTGAGCGTATATTTGCAATGTTATGCACATAGACGGAGACAATAACAAATGGTTGTGTCCWCTTAAAATATAGTAAAAATGTTTRGAGTTCTAAAAAAATATTTCTTACGAATTATTAATTACGACAAAACTTAATCATAAATTATTTAAATATTACATAAAAGAATAATTTATAAAAGATAGAAATGATACTCGGAACAATAAATAATATATTTAAAAATTATGAATATTTTACTAATTTTAATCCTTATCTAAAAAACAATATGTTTGTATAGTGTGTATTATATATATACCTATATCGTTTATTGATTAACATTATAATATTGCACTCGAAATTCTTGACAACAATCGCGTAGAATCAAAATAATATACGTAGGTACGTATTTACTATACTTACTGCTAAATTATAAACATTTTGTACATTGCACAAAAATAATATTTTAACATCGGATGTCTTATAATATCATATATATTATTACAGTCACAGAGTAGAGCATTATTCAAATTTCAAATACAATATTAATCTAATAAAAATTATTCAAATAATTTTAAAATACAAGGAGTTAGATATTCTGATAAAAGAAAAAAAAACAATAATTATTTTGATAAAAATTTGACCAACTCTAGCTGTTAGAGAACAAACTGAATTAACTCGTGATCACGTGCTAACGTTCATTTAAACTCGGAGAAACAAATATAATATAACAATACAATAATTTAATAATAATAAATATATATAATAATGATGATTGATGATGATAACAATGAAGCATCAAAACCTCATCTTAATAGTGGTGACAACTAATGACAAGCCTATCGAAATGGGCGGTGAATGTTTGCTAAATAGTAAATATTGACCGATGGAATATTTAATAATGACTAATGAGATGATAATGATGATATATAGAAAATATGTACTTWTATCGGTTATCACGAATTCACGAATTCACGACGACAACCAACACAATATGCTGGTAAACTCGACATAATATATTGAACGGAATATTATTCAGTTAWTGTGATTTCTTCGTTATATGATTATAGAACGATATTGTAATCTACGAGACAACATGCTTAACAAAACTTAATGCTTAAAGCATAATATATCAAAAAAAAACAATTTACGCGTAACTGTTAAATAAATATGCACAGGGTAGTGTTATAGATTTAATTAAACTTTTCTTACTCAATGAAATTTATTTTATAAATTTATAAAACCAATAAAGATGAAAAAATGCACGTTAAAAATAATCGGTTTGCTTGCGCTACATTAGTAGTAATAAATTGCTTTTATATAATTAATAATGTATGCTTTATAGTTTAAGTATAATTGAGCAGACTTGGTTGATTTTTATTTGTTAAAAAATGTCAACGACCTCCCTCCTCCACTCCACACCTTACGAATACGAATGTGTGCCGCGCCACTTTAACGCGGCAGTGCGCTTCGTCAAGGATAGTAGCCCAACGAATTTTCAATTCCCGATTTAAAAAAAGTTGACAGGACGTCATCGCCGCTKCCGTCGTGGACAGAATGTCGCCTGGCTGTCCGCTTATTCTGCTGCGATAGTGCAGGCTGTCGTGTGTGTCCGCTGTACTGTATCCGACAGCCGGCCATGTGCACTGCTTCGGAACTATACGACCGCCTGTCCATCATGACAGACGATGACGAGGCGGCCATAGAGCCATCCAAACGGTGGTGATTTTGTCTGCTACCGCCAAAGCCGCGTGTCTTTCGTGGACCCGCAGTACCGTCAGCGGTGGCCGCAAATAACGCGTAATCGATAGCACGAAAGTTGTCCGAACCGCTTGAACCAGAACGRCGGTGGTGGTGTTTGGGACCGCAGGGTGGTTGTGGCCTACGTTGGTGTACCGCGGACGACGACGAGTACACGGTGGCCGCGGACAAGGACGACGACGGAGAAGACGACGAACCCGCCACCGCGGTAGAGTTAGCACCAGCGTCACACGGCCGGTGCGTCATCTGTAGATACTCGATGCTTTTGGATGGTTCGATACCGCACCTGCCTCCGCTAGTAGTAGCCCGCGATGATTCGCCTCCAATACGAGGACCGCCATCTTGTCGTTGCTGTAGCAGCATGAGTAGCTCATTCTTCTTCCATGCAGTTCCCGGCGAATCAGCCCTCGACACGCTCGACTCGGACGCCGCGAACCCCCGACTCTTGAGCTCGTCAAAAATATTTCGTGGGCGCCGTGGCCGGCCGCAGTAACACTTGTTACTCTCTGCACAGCTGTCCGAGTCGCAGCTGCACGATACCAGCGACGTAGTCGGTTCCGCTGCACCGTCACCAAAGCAACTACAACCGTCGTCGTCAGCTGCACCGCCTGCGCTACACTCCGAACAGCTAAAGTAACCGCTGGACGCCCGGTGCAGACATCCAGCCTCAGACGTTGTAGTCGTTCCTCGTCCGCCATCGCTGCGCTTTTTTGACGTCTTCTTATAAAGCTGCGGCAGTTGCTGCAGCAGTTGTTGTTGGAGTTGTTGATGTTGCCGTTGCCGCATCACTGCGGCCGCGAAAAAGTCACTGTCGTCGGAAGTGCTACAGATAGGCGACGACGACGTGGCTGACGTCCGGCGGCCTTTGCTTGTCGATGTGACCGCCGAACGTTTGCTCGCAGCGATCCGCCGTTGAAACTTCCGTTCCGGTTTCCGGTTTGGTGGTCGAGCATCGGCGGACGATCCTGCGATCACCAAACACGAACATCGACGACGCCGTTGTTGTTGCTGTTGCTGTTGCTGCAGTAGTTGTTGTTTCCGGGATGCTCTGTTCCGGTTTTTGCGCTTGCAAAAATCCGGCAATAACACGGCACCGATTCTCGACTTGGCCGCCCGCAAGTTGAACGTATCGCGGAGCTTTTCATTGAAACGACGCCCTCGACTCGCCGCCTGAGTAGTGACCACTGGACGCCGCTTGTTCCGCTTGCGTTTCTGTTCTGTCATTATCGCCTTGGTACGCTGGTACAGCTCGTCTTTGGTAAGCGTCAGCGCCAATTTCATAAGAAACTCCTTGTAAATGGGCTTCAGGTCGTTGTATGACATGCCCTCCACGTTGATGATGGCGTTCAGTATGTCGTCCATGTTGTTCAGGCCCTCTTGCGCGCGTAGTTCGTTGAACATGTCCGAGAAGCCCATAACACTGCTACCATTGCTCCGACGGCGGCGCCTGTCTGCCGCAGCTGTCTCGATACCGCAACCCGCCGCCCGCCTCGAGTATTTAGTGGATGCCAACCCGTTGGAGTTTAGAAAACTCCTGCTCCTGGGTATGGCCACTTTGGTGAGTATGTCACCACCGCGGTCCAAACGTTGCTTTCTAGTGCTACGAGATTGCATGCCAGTCACTTCCGCAGAGTCCACAGCGCTGCTACTGTTACACACACCACGCTGGAGCGATGGCGGCTGTTTGACGGTCAACCGGAACGTTTTAGCGCCGCTGCACACGTCACCAACGCTACAGTCGTCTGTTTTCATTGACGTCATTGCCGACGGAACGCATTCACCATCATCGCCGGCTGACGWCACAGCGCTAGCGGATGATAATATGGACTTTTTGTTCCTGCGTGGTGGACGAGGTGGTGGCAGCGCGGGTGCCTCCTCGCCTAAGCCGCCACCTGCTACACTCGAACCGGCCGTGCTGCTCATGCTCGTGAATCCGTTCCGCTGTCGAATGACCCGCCTGACCGAGGGCGCTGCTCGTCGTTCGCCCACCTCGCCAGCCGTCGGTGTACCTTCGTCTGCCRCCGCAGTGGCCGAAGACATAGCTGTTACAAGGGCACCGTATAGGTTGGCCGCCATGAGCAACGCGTCGTTTTCTGTCTCGCATGCAAACCCGTGACATTCTAGCCGCTTTCCGGCCGCGCGCGTGACTACTGCGAAGACAGGAGCGTGGTCACCTGCTGCGTCCAGCCGGGCCCTGTCACCCGCGTCCATGTCCCGGAACAACGGCGCCTTGTCTGAACCATCCGGATCGGCGATCAGCGGCAGGAAAGCGTACTCGTAACCGAMGATAGTGGTGGCGGCTTCTCCGACGATTCTCCGATTCGGAGTCGGCGATCGGCGACGGCACACGTATTTCAGCGCTGCCCAAACGGCGATCGACGGGAATGCGTTTGTCCGCTGCTCCGTTTCACCCAGCTCGTTTCTATACCGGATGGTTAGACCGGCTGCCGATATCTCCAAGAGCCCGGAGAAATCGCGCCGCGCGTCGGTCCGGATCTCGTTGTCGTTATCGTTGCGGTAATAACCACAGTGCGAGATATCGCCGCCGCGGTAATGGTGTTGGTTTTCCCTATAACCGAAGTACATGTCTCGGACGGGCTTCTGAAGACCCTCCAACGAGGATATCTTGCCCGACAGCCCCGCACACCCTATGTACTGCACGTGGAATTTGTTGCTACTAGTTGTTTCCGCTCCCACCGCTGAGGAGTCCATCGACACGTCCGTATCAAGTTCCGAAGAACTGATTTCCGCAAACATTTTTTCGATTTTCTCTTGTACCGTATTCTTGTTGTTATTGTGGCCGTTATTGTTTCTATCGTTGGTGCCGGCGGTATAACTGTAATTGAAATAGCCACCGCCTGCACTGCCGCCGTAGTGGTTGTTGTCATCGGCCAACGATTTGGTCTGAYGGCCGGCATGGTGGCCGTACGTTCGCTTTGTGTCACCCGCAACCGAAGCGGTCGTCTTGAACATGCTGTCTATTCGTTTCTTTGACGCTATCGAGCTAGTGTCGTCACTGAGCAGTGTGTCGGACACCGCAGCCACCGATGCCGGAAAATCTCCGTCCATGCCACGCAACCGAAAACTTTCCATTTCGGTTTTGATGCTCTCGTAAAAATGATGGCCACCGCCGCCGTTTTGCGGGTAGTTGTCCATCGTGTAACTACCGTATTCTTCACACGGGCGTAATACCATATTCTCTAATGTCTCGTAAATTTCCTCCTTGTCGTTGTCGTCGATACTTCGTTGACTTCAGCTCTGATTTCGCATTTCACCTGTGAAAATAACAAGATTCCATATCTATATTATCAAATGATTATAACGTATAATATATTATCATTATGGTTAAATAATTGAGATAGTAGTTATTAATGTTATTATCAGTGGCGCCGATCCCTATGTCCAGGTATTGCAACTACAATACCTATTAAAGGTGGGTGGGTGTAATAGCCAACGAAATACACTGGCTAAAATTATTTTAATTTATGAAAGTTATAAATTATTTTATTTATCATCATGCCTAGGTAACATTATGAATTAGGATAAACCATAAACCTAAACGCTAACAATTGAGTAATTTCCGGGAGGGGGGAGCTTCGGCCCACTATGCTACCGGTTTATATACCTACTCTACTATCCCCCTTAATACGGCCCTGCTGGCAATCTTTAAATGTACTTATAACTCTTAGTTGTTAAAATTATAGATAGATAAATGGAAAAAAATTTAGGGGCAGTCGCTCAACCTAATGTAAGTGGATGGGGGTCTTGCTTTGCAGGTATGCTTTGCAATACCTCTAAAAACTRACTTCGGCGCCACTGGTTATTATGATGGGAGAGGTAGAAGAAGAAAATCAAAGAAAAAAATGGATAGACGGAGTAGAGAGAGTGAATATGACAAAATATTAGCTGTTGTCAAAGCCAGTGTGTATAATCAGGCCTCCTTTAAAAATTAAAAATTACATTTGAAATTTGAAAATTGKATATTAAAAAAACGTATTTACACTCTAAACCTCCTTGGATTCATTTGCTAATTATACGGTCTTGTGGCTATTCTTTTATTTTTGTTAAATACACCATTACATTTATATTGTTTTCACTRTCCGTCTCTCACATGTGATATAGAATCAAAGGTAATCCACGATTACGACAGCAAGAGCTCAATATATGGCCAAGAGACCGATACACGATTTTATAAAGAAGGATATTTCCTGTGTAATGACAGGATAGGTTTTTTTACTAATTATAAATAGTTAAAAATAAAAGGTACTAATTGCAAAAATGTAACAATTTTCTCCAACAGTATCTTTTCTAGTTGGAAAGTGATTAGTTAGTAGGTACTTTGAGGGGATCAAWTGTAAAAAATTCCCGATATTTTTGAAAAAGCTCCAGGAAAAACTAAAATGTTTACAGAAACTCAGTTTTCGAAAAAAATCGATTTTGTTTTTATGCTTCATTCTAAAAAAATAACAGTTTATAAATGAAATTTTCACTGCGCCATTTTAATAGATTTTAAGGTATTTATAGGCGCATGAAATTTTATTATTATTATTTTTAATACAAATTGATAAAAAAAATTCCACTAGCTAGGTTAAGAAACTTGACGATAATGATACGGTAACTGATAATATTATTTATTATTTAAAAATTTGTAATATACACTCATATTGACCATATTATATCATATTTTTAGGTATAATTATATTTATAATTAATATACAATATAATAATAGCTGTCATAAATAATGTATTGCCAAAACTATAATATTGTATTTTTGTCTGGTCACTTTTTCTTCTTCGCAGTAAATACGCATGCATTTTATGTATTCGCGGTGCATGATGTATAAGATGAAATGGTTATTAGTTATTGACTTATAAATATAGGGTTAGGTTAGGTAAATTATAGTAATTTATAATTTATACATCACATATGATTAAAATAAATAAATAATTASATTTTAACAWGCACTTATTTAAAAATGTTCTTATAAAATATTTTTAAAAAACTTTATTATTATTTGAAATTACAAGGTTTCTAACATAAACTAGATCGTAATTAATTACTTAACGAAAATATTGATATTTAAAAAAATTGTAAAAAATCAGCCATTTGACTTAAATAAGTATTTTTACCATATAAATTTTTCTAAAAATCAGATTTACAAATTGGCTATATTGGATATTTCAAAAAAAAAATTTATCAATTTTTCTGTGGGACACTCTGTATAGATGAGTATTATAACGCAAATTTGAAAATTGAAAAGTTGAAAGTTAGAATAATAGTTTTTTGCTTTGGTCAATAGTCTTACATACCAATGATGCATAAAATACCAATACATTTATAATAAATAATGTGTAAAAAAACAATTCATATCCTCCAATTCAAACAACAAATATGATACGTTATAATTATTGAGTGTAATTAAAACAATAAAAAAAACTTGTTGGTGTCCATTACGTCAACTGTATTCCTACGAATTCTATGTAGGTACCTTTCAATCAATAATATATATTAGCTACTAATTACCACTTGTAAAGTTGTAACCATATAATACTTGTTTTTATTGATATTTAATTATCCTATAATAGTTTAAGCAAAAAAAAAGTTTCAACTTAACATGATTACAATGATTAAATATTGATCTATATCATCTTAAGTTCTAACCAGTATTTTATAGTACAGCGGTTCCCAAACTGTGCTTCYTGAGGGCATCGAGAGCACTTTCCGAAGGCACCATTACTCTTAAACAATAATTTATAATTTATTGTAATTTTTGTTCATTTCAAATTGAACTTGTAAAATAGATCAAAAATATTCGTAATATAGTAAGACAAATTAGTCGTTGTAATCTTTAATAGTATCCATTATATACATACTTGGAACTTAGAAGTTAGRATCTAWCTATGGATCTGTAAATATTAAATTTAAAAATTATACGAATTAGAAGATTAAAAGAGAAGTAAATTAAAATAATATAACGCCATTTATGGAGTATGAAATTATATAGATACGAAATTTCGAAACACAAGGGGGTRGAATTCGAGCAGAGAGGGCAGAGCCTCATTCTTCATTATTAGAAAGTAGTACAATATAACGTATGGGTATATGAAATATAAATATATCGAATATGATACAATAATATTTTAATCATATTGTTAATTAGCTTACCTAGTTAGTGATGAGCTAACATATAATATAGTGCCAGATAGAGAATACTGCAGAACGGTGGGCATTGTTTATAAAAAAATAAGACGTTGACACGAGTCAGCGCGTTRCTTATAGACAAAACCGTTTCGAATGCATCATGCATTACATTGAATTAATCGAGTCGTTGATTATAGTACGTTTATTTACCATTATTTTTAAACCATGAAATCAATTTGCTGTCAAAATTAAACCAGGCCTTGATGGTTTCAAATGATATTTAAACACGTTTCCGTCAAAAAACGAATGGATAAAACGCATTAAAAAAAAAAAGATCACTTTCATGGATAATATAATATTTATAGGTATAATATATGTATAATATATTAAATGCATATGTTAACGATTGTACTATATCGAATAGCTACTGAGGTTTTGTTCGAAATCATTTGTCTAAGATGCGCTAAGAATATTATTTTTAGTATTTTTATTTTTTATACAAAATGTAATACATATATTATACCTGCGCGTTATATTAGAAAATGTGTAGATATTATGTTATGGTGGTAGTATACCTATTATTGTGATAAACAGTTTACACAGGTTTCTTGTTTTTTTTAACATAAAGCAGTTTCCAGTCTTAAACTATTGATTACAATTTAAAGGTATTTAATTGACAGGATAATAGCACGAACATAATAAATATTATTGTTTGAATAAAGAATAAATTCGGTCCAAAAAAAAAAAAAAAAAGATTATAATTTATAATTTATACTAACAATTAAATAAACGTACTACAGTATTATATAATACTCGTATATATATACTATGTTGAAAATATTATAAACACACTGTAACATAATATTATAATATACCTACTTCTCACAACGACTTGACTGTATATTATAATATAATAATTATATATTTATAAAACAAGTTTTTAAATATCTACCGGCCATTTACCAAATTAATCAATATAATTTCCCGGACTAATAGAAATATTTTAACTTAGAATTATATTAATATAGTTATATTATCATACCTATACCTATAATTCACCTTATAATTTCTATACAATTTATTTAAATTAGTCGCCTGTAAGACCCACATAATTTATTCCTACATAGCTGCTATCTAATGAGTAAAAATGATCTCCAGATATCCCTATAGGCATGTCCAACATGCGGCGCCGATCTAACACAATAAAACTTAAAAAACACATAATGACCGAACGTCGATTATACTCCGAACCAAGATTGACCTCAAMAGTTCATCGCTCTCAGCTACCTTTAAATTTATCATAGAGGCAGAACTGCAATACAAAATATAAACACTGTATAAAAAATAAATYTGTTGTTGTAAATAATAACCCAATGTAACCCAATGACTTAYGTCGCCGAAGGTAAATATGTGTCAGTAAAAAAAAAATAATGTATTCCTACATAAATATTATGTAATATACTGTAATTTTTGAATAAAATACAACCGAAATAGAATAACCTGAGGTGAAGTTTCGAAAAAAATAAAAATAATCGCGCTTGCCATAAAACTCTTATCACTATTTTTATTTTTTTATTGCATTCTCAAGTCTAAAAGTATGATAACACTGAAGTATTAAAAAACCATGAAAAAAACTTGTCACTAAGACAGTAAGACACTATATTATATCATGATAACCCATATTTTATAGTAGGTACCTAGGTAAATCTTAGGGAGCATTCTACTTGCGTCCAAAAATATTATCAGTAGGTAGGTTAGTTGCGTCCCGCAAAAAAGATTCAAAAAGGGTCATAGCCTATTTGCGTCCCGTAATACCCTTTTTTATAACCTAATTGTGTCCTGAAAATTTCGATATAATCGATATCAATAAGTTAGTAAAAAACACATTTTAAATTTATTTTTTATTTATTTTAATTCCACAATTCTTATTTTTTACATTTTGGCATAATAAAAAAATTCATGTATTCAATTCAAATAGTGAGATTTATTATATAGTATAGTTTATAAAATATCGATTTTAGTGACACGATACTCTCGACTTAAGTGATTTTAGTAGTAAATATCGATAGTTATTATATAGCCAACTAATAACGCAAGTTCCCGGTCAAATTTACTACCTGTAAAATATA